CTTCAAGAAGAAATTCGAAACATCTCATGCAAGCAACTTAATGGCTCACTTAAAAGCCCTAAGGAAAAAAAAAAGAAGCAGAAACACCAAAGAGGAGAAGACGGCTGGAAATAAACTCAGGGTTGAAATCAATCAAATAAAAACAAATAAAACAATTCGAAAAATCAATAAAACCAAGAGTTGGTTCTTTGAGAAAATTAACAAGATAGACAAACCATTAGCCAAACTAACTAAAAGGCAGAGAGAAACTATACAAATCAACAAAATTGGAAATAAAAAGGGGAACATAACCACAGACACTGAAGAAATCCAAACAATAATTGGGTCTTACTTCCAAAGTCTATATGCCACAAAATTTAAAAATCTAAATGAAATGGACAATTTTCTTGACTGATTCTACATGCCAAAGGTGAATCAAGAACAGGTAAACCAATTAAATAGTCCTATATCCCCTAAGGAAATAGAAGCTGTCATCAAAAGTAAGTCTACCATGCAAAAAAAGCATAGGGCCAGATGGTTTCAGCGCAGAATTTTACCAGACCTTCAAAGAAGAGCTAACACCAATACTCTTCAAACTATTCCACAAAATAGAAACAGGAGGTACACCACCAAACTCATTCTATGAAGCCACAGTCACAGAAACCTCACAAAGACCCAACAAAGAAAGAGAATTTTAGGCCAATCTCCCTCATGAACATCTATGAAAAATACTTGCAAAAAAAAAAAAATCAAAATACTTGCAAACCAAATCCAAGAACACAGCAAAGACATCATCCACTACAACGAAGGAGGCTTCATCCCAGGCATACAGGGGTGGTTCAATATACAGAAATGCATCAATGTGATCTACCACATAAACAAACTGAAGGAGAAAAACCACATGATCATCTCCTTAGATGCTGAAAAGGCATTTGACAAAATCCAACATCCATTCATGTTTAAAGTCTTGGAAAGATCAGGGAAACATGGCACATACCTGAACATAGTAAAGGGAATATACAACAAGCCTATAGCCAACATGAAACTCAGTGGAGAGAAACTTAAATCATTCCCACTGATCAAGGACAGGGCAAGGCTGCCCACGCTCTCCATATCTCTTCAACATTGTTCTGGAAGTCCTTGCTAGAGCAATAAGACATTTGAAAGAGATCAAGGGGATAGAAATCAGAAAGGAAGACGTCAAAGTATCACTAATTGCAGATGATATGATAGTATACCTGAGTGACCCCAAATATTCTACGAGGGAAATCCTACAGCTGATTAACACATTCAGCAAAGTGGCTGCATACAAAATTAACTAAAAAAAATCAGTAGCCCTCCTATATACAAAAGACAAAAGGGCCAAGAAAGAAATTAGGGAAACAACACCCTTCACAATAGCCACAAAGGACATAAAGTACCTTGGTGTGAACCTAACCAAACAAGTCAAAGACTTGTATAAAAAAAAAAAAATTCAGTCTCTGAAGAAAGAATTAGAAGAAGATATCAGAAGATGGAAAGATCTCCCATACTCATGGCTTGGCAGGATGAATATAGTAAAAATGGCCATCTTACCAAAAGCAATCTACAGATTCAATGCAATTCCTATCAAATTGCTAACACAATTCTTTACAGACATTGAAAGAAAAATTTCCACCTTAATATGGAACAACAAGAAACCCAGAATTATGAAAGCAATGCTCTGCAGTAAAAGATCTTCAGAAGGTATCTCCATCCCTGATCTCGAGCTGTACTATAAAGCAACAATACTAAAAACTGCATGGTACTGACATAGAAATAGACTGGTAGATCAATGGAATAGAATAGAAGACCCTGACATAAATCCACACACTTATGGTCACCTGATTTTTGACAAAGATGCCAAAATCATTCAAAGGAACAAAGACAGCATCTTCAACAAATGGTGCTGGTCTAGCTGGCTGTCTACATGTAGAAAAATGCAAATAGATCCATACTTATCACCCTGCACAAAACTAATATCCAAGTGGATCAAAGACCTCAGTATAAAACCAGACACACTAAACCGCTTAGAAGAAAAAGTGGGGAAGACCCTTGAACTCATTGGCACAGGAGACAACATCCTGAACAGAACATCAAAAGCACAGACTCTAAGAGCAACAATCAATAAATGGGACCTCATGAAACATAAAATTCCTGTAAAACAAAAGACACTGTAGTCAGAAGAAAATGACAGCCTACAGATTGGGAAAGGATCTCCACCAACCCTATATCTGACAGAGGACTAATATCCAGTATATATATAGAATTAAAGAAGGTAAGCATCAAAAAATTAAGTAATCCAATTAAAAAAATGGAGTACAGAGCTAAACAGAGAATTCTCAATAGATGAATATCAAATGGCAGAGAAACACTTAAAGAAATGCCCAACCTCATTAGCCATCAGGGAAATGCAAATCAAAACAACCCTAAGATTTCACCTTATACCCATCACAGTGGCTAAGATCAAAAATTCAAGGAACAACACATGCTGGAGAGGGTGTGGAGAAAGGGGAACCCTCCTTCCTCCACTGCTGGTGGGAATGTAAACTTGTACAACCACTCTGGACAACAATCTCAGACATCTAGGAATAGCGCTTCCTTAGATCCAGTTAGACCACTCCTAGGCATATACCCAAAAGTGTCTCAAGGTTACAATAAGACATTTGCACAACCATGTTTACAGCAGCCTTATTTGTAAAAGCCAGAGGCTGGTAACAGCCCAGATGCCCCTCAGTGGAGGAATGGATGCACAAATTGTGATGCATCTACTCAATGGAATATTACTCAGCAATGAAAACAAGGAAATTATGAAATTTCCAGGTAAATAGTGGGAGCTGGAAAAGATCATCCTGAGTGAGCTATCCCAGAAGCAGAAAGACTCACATGGTATATACTCACTCATATAGATTTATAATATAGGATAAACCTACTAAAATCTGTACACCTAAAGAAACCAATCAAGAGGGAGGACTCTGACTAAAATGCTCAATTCCTATCCAGAAAGGCAAAGAGGATGGACATCAGAAGAAGGAGAAAAGAGGGAACAAGTCAGGAGCCTGACACAGAAGACCTCTGAAAGGCTCTGCCCTTCAGACTATCAATGCAGATGCTGAGACTTATGGCCAACCTTTGGGCAGAGTACAGGGAATCTTAGGAAAGAAGTGGGAAACAGTAAGATCTGGAGAGGACAGGAACTCCACAAGGAGAGCAACAGAACTAAAAAATCTGAGCACAGTGGTCTTTCCTGAGACTGATACTCCCACCAAGGACTATGCATGGAGATAACCTAAGACCCTTGCACAGATGTAGCCCATGGCAGTTCAGTGTCCAAGTGGGTTCCATTGTAATGGGAACAGTGACTGTCTCTGACATGACCTGATTGGCCTGCTCTTTAATTACCTCCCCCTGAGGGGGAAGCAGCATTACCAGGCCACAGAAGACAATGCAGCCAGCCACTCCTGATGAGACCTAATTGACTAGGATCAGGAGGAAGGAAAAGAAGACCTCCCCTATCAGTGGACTTGAGGAGGGGCATGCATGTAGAGGGTGGAGGAAGGGAGGGATTGGGACTGGAGGAGGGAGGGAACCACAAAGGATACAAAGTGAATAAAGTGTAATTAATAAAAAAAATAATATAAAACAAGGAAATCATGAAATTTTTAGGCAAATGGTGGGATCTAGTAAACATCATCTTGAGTGAGGTATCCCAGAAGCAGAAAGACATACATGGTATATACTCACTTATAAGAGGATACCAGACCTATATGATGGGATAAACATACTAAAATATGTACACCTAAAGAAGTTAAACAAGGAACAGGACCTGGGTTAAGATGATCAATCCTCACTTAGAAAGACAATTGGGATGGACATTGAAAGTAGGAGAAAACAAGAAACAGGACAGGAACCTAACATAGAGGGCCTCTGAAAGACTCTACATAGAAGTGTATCAAAGCAGATACAGAGACTCATAACCAAACTTTGGGTAGAGTGCAGGGAATCAAATGAAAGAAGGGGGAATTAGTAAGACCTGGAGAGGACAGGAGCTCCAGAAGGATCAAATATATCTGAACACAGGGGTATTTTTGAAATTGATTCTCCAACCAAGGACCATGCATGGATATAACCTAAAACCCCTGTTCAGATGTAGCCCTCAGCAGCTCAGCATCCAAATGGGAACCCTAGTAAGGGGAACAGGGACTGTCTCTGACATGAACGAAGTGAAAGGCTCTTTTACCTCCACCCCCTGAGGGAGAAGTAGCCTTGCTAGGCCACAGAGGACGACAATGCAGCCAGTCCTGATGAGACCTGATAGACTAGGGTCAGATGGAAAGGAAGGTGGTCCTCCTCTATCAGTGGACTAAAAGACTGGCAAGGAGGAGGTGAGGGAGAGAGTGAGATTGAGAGGGAATGAGGGAGTGGGCTATAGCTGGGATACAAAGTAAATAACTGGTAATTAATATAAAAAAATAAAAATTAAAAAAAGATGCTTAATTTACCTATCTTACATGGCCTTTTCCTTTGTATTCTTATGTCTAACTGAAACTTAGTAACTGATACTGGTGTAGAACAATGTAACATGTAATAAGCATTAAATAAACTAATGGAGTCCATACTCTGTCTGTTGGTTCTTTTCCCCATGATACTAGAGATGGAAATCAGAGTCTCAAGCATGCTGAGCTCACACTCTGACCCTGATGTACACCCCAGTCCTACTTCCATTATTCTCTCCAGAGCACTGGAAAGTACATGATATTAAAATCCACAGATATTTGGTAAAAGGATCAGTAAGGGTCAATATCCTCAAAGGCTATAAATGATCAGATTGTAATGAGAGAAAACTTCTCTTCACTGCCCACTGCTTTCTAATTATACAGTTAATATGGATTTTTAGGAATGTGACTGATGATGCTGAACTTCGAAGTGCATCAGAAAAGACCTTATCAGCTCTAGGTCCTGGCTGAGACCAATGTCTTGATTCATTGTACAAAGATACATACGCTGAAGAGAGGAGTGTCCTCTCTATGAGGATGGAACCCCCTCCAGGGGCAGCAGGAAATTTCTTTTAGTCCAGTAGGTGTCAGTGAGAAAATTCCAGTTCTGAAATGAAAAAGCAGACTCACAGTCAAGGAGATATGATGCCCTTAGGTCTCTTCCCTCTCTCTTGTCCACCTTTCCCTCATCTTTTCTTCCTTTCTTAGACCCCTTTCCCTGTTTCTCATTCACTCACTCTTTTCACCCCTTCTCCTATCTCTTTTCTCTGTATAACTCTTCTTCCCATTGCTAGAACCTGTGAACCTCCTCCAATTCAGAGTCATTGCTGCCATTTTTATCTTCTCCTAGACATTGTTCTCCTTGTGCTATTCCTAATCATACTCTTCATCCTTTCTTTTTTCTTTTCTCCTTTTCTCTTTCTTTCTGCCTTTCATTCTTTCTTTCTTTAATTCTTCCTTTCATTCTTTCTTTTTGCTTTTTTTTCCTCCTCTTGTTCTTATACTCCTACTCTTGCCCCTGTATGACTACATACCCTTCTGTCTATCTCTCTCTCATTTTGAATATCTTTATTTCACCATAACCAAACTGGGCAGAAGAATTCAACAGTAGAAAAGAGTAGGAAGAAGAAACAAGCAATGCATTAGGTCTATTTAGATCAATAATGTGAGGAACAAGAGATAAAAATGCTAAAATCAGGGTCTTCTTGTAACTATGGAATAACATCCATGGTTCAAAATTATTTTTAGTCAGGAAAGCAAGATAATTCATTGCTTTTCCAATACTAGATCTGCTGAATTCAGAATAACTTGACATTGGGAATGAAAAGAGAGGACACTCATGTACAATGTTTGGTGTAGAATTTCTTCAATCTCTGCCTCTTGAGATTACTTCTTGATAGTTTGTGCTAGAAAATCAGCAGTGATGTCACCTTATTTTTTAAGAGGACTAGTATAAATTAGAATGTTGAACTTAACTTTCATAGCAATGTTAAGATACTCTATAGATGAATTTTAAATAATTTTCAGCCACAAAAGCATTTTGCTCTTGTACCTTACTTACAGATCTGAATCTTACACACTCACTCTTTGTATTTGGGGGCACACACCACTGCGATGGACTCAGGCAGCATCTGCTGATAGCCAAAATGGGTGTGTAGGTCCACACTTGACAAGAATGCTCTCTGGGTTGGATGGGTCTATGAAAATAAAAAAAAAAAAAGACAAGAATTGCAAGTGAGCATAGCCAGCCAGGTCTGATCCACCAAGAAAGGCAAGCCCAACCAACTTCAACAATTGGCCCCTACTAAGTTTCCTCAACTCATTCAAGAGAAACACTCATCTGCTAGCTGGAGAAGGAAGAGGGGACAATCTCTGTCCTCCTAACACACAAAGGTCAAAAGAAGCTAAGTTTCTCTCTATCACATTTGGTTTTTCCCTCACTGAGAACAAGACTCTTTTATTCATTCATGTTTAGTTATACCTGATGTCTAAAAGGTAACCATTTCAAGTTTTGTCCTTCAACTTCTAACCCATATCTGCTTCCCTGTTGCAAACAGCAGGCTGAGTCCTACCTCATCAAGATTTTGGATCACCACTACAAATATTGGTTCAACAATCTCTCTGGGTCTTCAGTTGTCTGTCTTCACTGCTGCCTCTGAACCCCATGCTTTTACTCCCTGTGTGAAGAGGAGACCCTTCTGCCCTTCCGATGTGGTACTGTACTATTGTCACTTGATTTACCCCTCTTTCCTTTTCTTCCCTCCCCCTTTTAACTGGATCAAGAGCATAAAAACACATCAGACAACTGCATGTCAGAGTAGGGATGAATCCTGCAGATGTTAAGCCAAGGAAGGCAGAGGTAAAAAGTTACATATCTAGCCATTGCATTTCAAGTCCTGTTGGCATGGCAGGAGGCACATGTAGGACGTGGTCAGTAATGAAATCCAGGAATAGATGGTGAAAGCAAAATTCAATCTGGAGGAAGGAAGGAAGGAATTTGGACTAGGCTCCTGTTTCTTTTCCTAAATTGTGTATGCACATTATATTTATTCAATGAACTATTAAATTGTACTATTCATGTAAGCACACTCACAAGGAAGCCTTATTTAATAAAACTATAGTGAAGTCAAAGAAAAACTAAAATCAAGAAAACCAACATCAACAAGACAAAACCATGTTCATACCATCTGACAGTTCCCTCATCTGTCAGTACTCTCTTAACTAAGTTCTGCTAAGAGCGGAGTTATAATTCTTCCTTCTCCTAATATCTAGAAATTAGATCTAAGCTTTTGTATGAAAGTCATGACAGATTCTAAAAATAGCCATAACCTTCATGAGATGACTTTTGTTTTGAGGCACAGTCTTTCTATTAGCCCAGGTTGGTTCTGAAGTCATCGTACAGCAGCCTCATCCTCCTGAGTGGTAAAATCCCATGGGGGTGCCATTATACCCAGATTTCTAAGAATCTGCTAAACCTTGAATTCTTTACCCACCATGGCCTAAAATTCATTAGCCAATATACTCAGAACCCCAGGAGGAAATATGAATACTCACCCTGCTGGAGCCTGTCTGAGTCACATGTTGAATTAATTCTTCAACTCTCCTTGCTATGTGGCTTAGGAGAACCTCCTAACCAGTACTCCTGCAGCATTGTTGCTGTTTCATCACCCACTGTGTTCCATGTTCTCCTTATTAGACCTCCACCTCAGCTGCCAGAGAATGGATTCTCTTGCAGCCAGCTCTCCCCATTTACCACATTTCCTAGGTCAACTCCATGCAGAAGCCTCCCAGGTCTCTCTCCTGGTTTCCCCTGGCCTCCCAAAACTTCCTTCCAATCGCCACATAGATTTGATATCTGACAACACCTTAAATTCCACACAGTAAGAATTATCTCCACTTCCAATCTCAGTCCTTCTCTAGAAGCCCTACTCATCCTTATGAGAGGATCATTGCCATCACCATGAGCCCAACTGAAAACTTGCTCTGTCCCAGCCTCTGGTCCTTATTAATTGGATCTCTAAATCTCACTCTTCCTCAACAGACTGCTACTATCTTCTCATTGGATGTTGGCAGCTCCCAAACCTTAACTGATCTTCACATCTCAATCAGCCTTGTATCTTCTTCATTTTCACTTCTGGACTCTGGTTTTAGTCATGAAATTGTTTTACCCAGAATAACCCAAACAGTTCTCTCTCTATTCAAAATCACCACTATTTTTCCTGCCCACACCAGACAATGGAGTCCATGGCTTTGATAGGTCATACCAACAAATATATGTCATCCTTTTCTGATACCAAACACAAATCCCAACCAACAGAACTGCTCACTGATGCAAGAACCCAGTGTAGATATCCAATGTTCAACTCTCTCCCTTGAGCCCCTTCTGGCCCATCTTTACAAGTCATCATAAGTCACTTCAAGTGTGGCCCCTCTTCTCTGAAACTCACAGGGATACAGATTTATCTCCTGAAAAATATAGTCCAAAATGGCTCATCTGAATTGGCACTAAGTTATGTGGGATAGCCCATTTGTGTTACCAGACACAAAGGGCCAAATTTTGATTAATGCATAGTATGTTGTTGATTTAGGCAAAACAGTAAGAATTTGTATTGAACTGAAAATCATGAAGTCACAGGAGACTGCTTCAAAAATCTCAACTTCTCATGTTCTGAGTATACGTATGTATGATATCTTAAAACCTGGAAATAAACCATGTGATTGTGGCTTACACCTGTCACTACTACAAGAAAAGCTTCTTGTTCTGTGAGCTTCAGTACTTGATAATGAGGGAATCATTAAGAAGAAATCTCTAGGCAAGTTACTGTGTTTACCTGAAAATCAACAGAAGTATGTTCAGCATGTGCAAACACTTAAAAATCTCACAGGTAGGATATCTTTGGGTGTGTAAAAAAGTGCTTCTTCATGAATACAAAATACAATCATTACAAATAACTCTCTTGTATTATTTAAAATAGTGTAATTTATATAATTTGGGGGGGACATGATTCCTATACCATGTTCCCTTACAGCCTAGGCAAGGTTCCATTGTTGACACAGACTCTCAACGAATAGGGACTTTGCAGAATTGCTTTCATTAAAAGGTAAAATTTTAAAAGCTGTTGAAACAATAGGAAATGGTCCTATGACTCACCCTGAACACTATTGACTGCATGTTTAAACAGAAGAATGATATGGAATGGATTGACTCTGCGCAGAGAAAGATTTAGGCAGGATGTTTCTAAGAGAGAAAAGAGAACCCTGCCATCAGGGAAGTTATTTGCTTACATGAATCCACCCTAAGGTGAGAAGCCCCAGTTCTTCTTGAATAAAAAACAGTTCCTCTTCATTGGTGGCATAGCAGTAGTCAGGGCCTCCTTCCTGGAGTGGTATGACTATGTGCGTGATCTGGTACTCCTCTCCTACCTGAAAGAGAAAATAACTTATTACTATTCCCTAGAATTCTCAATCCCTCTCTCTCATAACACAAGTAAGTGAATCTGTCAAGTGAATGACCCTTACTGTTCTCCCTCCCCTCAGTGTTTCACAATCTTGGGAGCTCTTTTAGGTTCTATATAAAGGAACAGATGCTGAGATGACCCTGAGATGTCCCTCTTGGCATATCCTAGGTATAGACTCCTGCCTGCAGAACTCAGCATGTGTGCTTAGGGGCTGAGGTGTTCATAATTTACATTCCAAGGCTTACCAGAGTAGGTGCTCAGACCAGGACCCAAAAGGAATTAGTCAACATGCATGTCTTCATGCCTCATTCCTGCCTATCTCCCTGTTTGTCTGCTGGCCTGCTTTCTTTGCCTTCAAGACAATGTCTCTTTCTCCTTGTGAAGCTGGTTTGAACTTCTAGGAAGCCTTCAGCCTCAGTTTGGCAGTAACAGGAATTAGCAGCATTAGCTACCATTTACAATGAAAATTTCTAACTATAACATCAAAGCAAATGGTTCAAAGGATTCTGAAAAGCAACCAAATACAAAGTCATCAAATCAAGGTTTCCAGGCCTTGTCAACTACAGTTCCTTCTGTCTGGTGATGTCTATGGACACAGACCCTGGATATGTTCTCTGAAAGTCATGGGAAGACAAGGAGAAGTAACAGCCTCAGATCAGGAAGAACTTTTCATATTTTTACCATGGATCCGCACAAAACACCACAGGTCTCAATTTTCTTCTTAGTGTTCTTCCTTGCAGACTTAAGAAATTTCTCACATAGATCATGAGGGAGGATCACAGGATGTAGGCCTCTGACTTCCTGAACTGCAATGGAAAAAAAAAAGAGAAAAACAGAGCCAGGTGTTCATGAGCAGAACTCATCTTGAGAGCCTGGGAGAGAAAGGAAATGTCATTGGGATTCTCCCCATGAATTCCTTCCCATGATGGAATCACAAAGTGAGCCGGGTTTGATTTCTCCAAGTTCTGGGTACAGCTGACTAGGAGCTGGGACCATGGACTTTATAGTCCGCTTGAATGGATGGAGCAATATTTTTGGATGTAACTATGAGATGAGTGTCAGTGGACCATGGAAGCCAAAGAATGAGGACATGGACAGGAACATGCAACATTCTATGTGATAGTGCTCAGTGCTTCAGACACCTGTCCACCAGCATGTCCCTACTTTCCTGGTGAGCTCCAGTCTCACACCTGTGTGGCTGAACCAGATGCAATGGGAACTCTTAGGTTTCAGACCATACCAAAGGGCACCTGGCCTCTAGGTTTCCCAGGGTCCGTTGGTCCCTACCTGTTGCTGAGCATGGCAAGGAAGGCATGACCCCCTACCCTGTACTTTCAAGCCCAGAGGCAGAGGCTAACCCTTATTATATAATCCAGACATTTAGGTTCCTTTATCTCTCTCTCTACTCTCACTCTACTCTCTGTGCATCTTTCCTCCTCTTCTTCTCCTCACTCTTTCTTCATTCCCTCTCTGCATGCTTTTCTCTTTCTCTCCTCCTTCTTCCCCAGTACTGCATCCAAGAGTTACTCCCAATAAACCTGCATTTCTATACTATAACTTCATCTTGCAATTAGCTTGCAATTCCTGTGTTTAAATGGGGAACCAATTCTACACAAGTCTTTTACAAGTTAGAAACCTGTGGTTACTTACCTGTGCTTTCCTCTGGGCCATTTTCCCCAGGCTGCTCGGCAGATGTTGATGTGTTTGGGGTGACAACCTTAGCATTCTCCTCTCTTGAACACTGCTGTGGTGGGCTGGATGTTTTGTTTGGTACTGAGGAAGGTTGAGCTTCCTTTGTTTTTACTGTTGCACCAGGTCCTACTTCTCCACTTTTGTTTTCTTTAGGTCCATACAATCGATCAAAAGGAACAGAGTGCCAACTAGAGAACCCTGATTTTTTAATTTACTTATATTTTTATCTTAATTACAGTTTATTTACTTTGTATCCCAGCTGTAGCCCCCTCCCTCATTCCCTCCCAATCCCACTCTCCCTCCCTCGTCTCCTCTCTGCCCCTCTCTAAGTCAAGTGATAGGTGAGGTCCTCCTCCCCTTGCATTTGACTCTAGCTTATCAGGTCTCATCAGGACTGGCTGCAATGTCCTCCTCTGTGGGGTAGCAAAGCTGTTCTTCCCATGAGGGGGTCAAAGAGCCAGCCACTTACCTGTGCTTTTTTCTGGATCATTATCCCCAGGCTGCTTGGCAGATGTTGATGTGCCTGGGGTGACAAACTTAGCATTCTCCTCTATTGGACACTGCTGTGGTGGGCTGGAGGTTTTGGTTGGTATTGAGGAAGGTCGAGCTTCCTTTGCTGATAATGTAATAGCAGCTCCTACTTCTCCACTTCTGTTTTCTTCAGGTCCATTCAATGGGTCAAATGGAAAAGAGCAATAACCGGAACATCCTGATTTTATGTCCTCCCAGAAGGATGCCCGCTCGGCTGTTTCCTCTTCTTTCTGCTTCTACAGAAAAAAGATTTAGGTAAATACTTGAAATCTCAGAATAAAAAAAAAAAAGTCTTGTCATCATAGAGATGAACAAAACCTATTTCTGTTCATGTCTGACATCTCAGAATAGGATCAATAAATCTGGTGTTGTGGAAAATAGCTCCTTACTTAGTTCCTATAAGCCTGTCTCTAATAATACCTAAATATCAGTCTTTTCTTCACTCCACCCATCTTTGTGTGTGTGTGTGTGTGTGTGTGTGTGTGTTGGCTAGTATGGAAGCAAGTGCATTTATGTACAAGTGATTGTGGAGCTTATTCATTGACTTGCAGACTCTAATGGAACATAACAAGGCAGTCCAAGAAGAGGCTGCCATATACTCCCGCTGTCTCTGTGCTCCTCATACTGACCATCTCCATTAGGTATTTTTCGTATTCCCTGTTATATTTGTTTATTAGTTTCCTCTTTAGAGTCTCGGCCCTGTCAAAAACGATGTTTAGGATCTGAAATACAAAATCAAAATGGAAAATTAGAACAGTTCTATTGTGAGAAAAAAAAAGGAAAAGTAGGGAAAGGCAACAGTAACTCATGCATAGATTGAACCCTATTCCATCCATCTCTCTCCTCTTTACTGTTCTGCTGAGGCAGCATCTGACCCCTTTCCACCGAGTGACAGGATCTCTGGATTTTCTCTGAGTAACTCCAGGTTGCTCTTTGTTGTCTGAGGCAACAAAGACCCACCTTGATGAAATTCGATCTTCTTCCATGCGCATCCCTTTTTCGGAGTTTTGGGCCAATGTTCAGTTTTTCCAAATATAATCTAAAGGAATAAAAGAGAGTAAATACTATGTACAGAAAAATTTCAAATGTTTAAATGAGGCCTGGAGGAAATTTGGCCTCTGCATGCAGGATTTCAGAAGTTCCTGGGGTTTACAGAGGCACATCCTGAAATCCAGCATCAGTTTCCATCCCAGTGTCTGGAAAGAGATGTGTCTTTATTTGTAATAATAAACTGGCACATTCAGCAAATATCAGTTGTCAAGAAGCACAGCAAAGCTGTTAAGGTGCATGTTTGTCACCCCAGCACTCAGGAGGAAGCACATAGAATTAGTCACAGATCCTTTAGGAAACAGGGCATAACCTGGAACTTCTAAACAGGAAATAAAGACAGTGGTCTCTTCAATTCCCAATCACAATACTGATTGCTGCTCATAGAGCACCTTTGTGTATTGTTTCCCAGCAGGGCACAACCTCACCTGAGAGACATTAGGCAATGAAAGGAGACACTGAGGGTGCTCAGAGTTAGGAGTACGTGTGCTGGGGTTACCTGGTGGGATGCTGCACCCAGAGATACTGCTCACCTGCTTCAACTCTCACATCAGTCCAAAATACAAGAACAATCCATGACCCTGTCAGAAACTCTGCTTGAGGGGAGGGTATGATCAGAATCATTTTATGTGCATATCTGATTTTCATCACCATATGAAAAGCTGATATCTCAAAGGACATACGAGTCCCTTTTAAGAGTAATTTGTCTTTGGAATGGTAAGAAAAAAGAGAGGGAGATACAAGATGAGCTCAAAAGAACACCTTCGTTTTACAGAATACCAACAGTGGAAAACAAACAGAAGAACCCTTGTTCTAGCAGTAAGAGCAGGGAAATGCAAACTGTCCTACTGAAATATCTCTAAACCTGAGCTTTCTCCTCCTCTGTGGAACAAGAAGGTGGCGTCTCTCCTCAGCACACACAGTCTTCTGAAGATCAGGGAAGCCATGGCCAGAAAACCCCACCCCATTGCCTGAGCTCCTCAGAGTCCTGGGCATATCCTTAGGCTCTGTTTCACCAAATTCAGGGCTAGACATGACTAGTGAGATCTTAACATCATTCACTTTGTCAAACACAGCACTCTTGTACCTGAGCCTGTAAGAGTCATTCCCTGGTGTTAGATCCACAATCTTGTATTTAATCTGCCTGTGCAAAAATGATGAAGAGCTTGGGAAAAAGACTGTGCTGTGCTGAACCCCACTGACTCCAGGTGCTTTACAGTCTTCTGGTGACTGTAGCTACAGGGAGGGCTACCCTCTTTCCCATACAACTCAAGAGGCTATAAGATGAAGAGAAAAGGGATCTGGGTTTGGCTACACATCAGAGATAATCCTGTGACTCAGAGGCCATTTGCTGATCAATCCACTAGCCAATTCAGATATGCCATACTTCCTGGCCAACTATTATTTTCAAAGAGCTGGCCATGTAGGCAAAGATCAAAAACTCCTACTCAGGATGATCTTTTCTTGGTCCCACCATTTGCCTGCAAATTTCATCATTTCCTTGTGTTTAATTGCTGAGTAGTATTCCATTGTATAAATGTACCACAATTTCTGTGTCCATCCCAAAAACAGAGAGACACTCATGGTATATAATAACTTGTAAGTGGATATTAGACATATAAAATAGGATAATCATATTAAAATCTGTACACCTAAAGAAGCTAATCAAGAAGGAGGACCTGAGTAAGATGATCTACCCTCATTCAGAAAGGCAAACAGGATGGACATCAGAAGAGGGAGAAAACAGGGAAAAGGACAGGAGCTACCACAGAGGGACTCCGAATGACTCTACCCTGCAGAGTATCAAAGCAGAGGCTGAGACTCATAGCCAAACTTTGGGCAGAGTACAAGAAATCTTATCAAAGAGTTGGGAGATAGAAAGACTTGGAAGGGACAGGAGATCCACTAGAAGAGAAAAAAAAAATCTGGCCACATGGATCTTTTCTGAGAGTTATACTCCAACCAAGAATCATTCATGGTGATAACCTAGAACCCCTGTCCAGATGCAGCCCATGGCAGCTCTGTGTCCAAGTGGGTTCCCTACTAATGGGAACAGGGACCTTCTCTGACATGAACTCAGTGGCTGGCAGTTTGATCACCCCCTGAGGGGGCGCAGCCTTACCAGGCCACAGAGGAAGCCAATGCAAGCTATTCCTGATGAGACCTGATAAATTGGATCAGATGGAAGGGGAGGAGGACCACTCCAATCAGTGGACTGGGAGAGGAGCATGGGTGGAGAAGAGGGAGTGAGGGTGGGATTGGGCAGGGACCAGGGAGGGGGCTACAGTAGGTATACAAAATGAATAAAATGTAATTAATAAAAAAATTAAGGGAACTCCTACTCATTAAGTTCTTTATTTGTGACCACAGCAACTTTGCTCCTTGTGTCTTTGAATAGGGAGGAAAAGATTGTGTGTGAACTGCCCGAAATATGATTAAAACCTAACATTGTCAAATTCAGTAACTGTCAGCAAATGTGACAAACATGAACAGGAGAGGAGCATAAGTTAGACAACAGTCCCAGAAAAGGAGATAGAAACTGCAGGTTCTCACGTGAGGAATTTATGATAGAGAATAAAAGCTGCTTCTTCTTTTCCACATTCTTCCAGGTCAGCTGCCATTTTGAAGAAGTCGTCTCTCAGGCTCATGTAAGAAGCCTTGGAAAATTTTTTGTTGATTTTGATGTCCTGCCCTAGAGCACTTAAGATCTGGAACCGCTCTTGGGGAGGTAGACTGACATCATCATGTCTGTGGATGGTCTAATACAAAAGAGAAGACAGGACACATCAAAACCCATCTTCTGCCATCCTTCCATCCTGCTGTGCCAGCTAGCTAGTACACAGTGTTGGCTTGTATGTGCTTGTGTGTGTGTGTGCGCGCGCACGCGTGCCACATGTATGTGTGCCAGATTGCGTGACAAACCGCTCCCTAAAGAAATTAGAGCAAATAAAACAACATTTCTTGTGATTCAACTCAATAAATAATTTAGTGAACAGGCACAGCATGGGATCCTCTTAATATGGTAGTAAAGTGACAGATTCCAGACCTGGGATCTCTGTGCCCTTTTAAGCAAAATGCAAAGGAGCTTTCAGGTAGCATGTAACTTAAAGAAGGGTCCTTACAAACAGCCTGTTTATTGAGATTAGCACCATGACTTTACATAGATATGAGTGGTTGTGCACACATTGGAGGATTCTGCATACTTATGAAACCAGCACTCACCACAGAGACTTCTCCTGATATTACCAAGACAATTAGAGAGCACCAGAGCTTGGAGGAACCCATATCCATGTATTCCATAATTCAATCTTAGCTAGAAGCAAAAGGCTTTGGGATTGGGTGCTCCCTGTTATTTAATTAGTATCTATGATACTCAAATCATCAAGAACATCTGAGTGATAATGAAAAATGAAAACTCAGTTCCTGCTCTTGAAGGACTTCGGGAACTAAGGTTGAGAAGCATCAGAAAGAAACAAACCTTTGAGAACTGTCAGCACCTTGGACCACAGCATTGCACAATCCTATCCTGAATGTTTGCAGGGGAGCCAGGTTGTTTGAGAGCAGAAATGCAAAGTACTCTAAAGACTACCTATTTACAGTATTGACCTCTTTTCTTTATCTCACTGGCAATGTAAAGAAAAGGTGATGTGTTATCACTCTAATTCTTTAGTTTAAACACAGAGAAACACACTAGGATTTTAACTTTCCAAATATGGTTTTGTGTAAATTATCTTCATGGTAAAGTGCAATGAGACTTACCACATTTGTTCTTCCAGTAGTGAAAGGTCCTTTATTATCTAGACAACTCTGGTGGTCTGATTGTCTGGGTGTCACAAAGTTTCCTCCTGTCACCAGATAAACAAGCTTTTAGGAAAGGAAACTTTTGCTTCTCTGGGAAATAATATTAATATACATTAAACTATGCCTTGCTGAAATAATGACAACTATGGCCATGGAGATACAGGCTTTTCATCCTGCAATTCATTGACTGAGGCAGGATGGTAGTCACTACCTCCATTTCAGAGTGAACACTTAAAACAATTTTTAATTGAAAAAAAAAGAGGATTAAGTCATTCTTTTTAAAATAAGGATTTACAATAAAGTTGGATTCAAGATGACAACAGCTGCATGCATCCTAAGAACTTTGGAGCAGCTACAAGAAGCTTGAGAGAAAGAGAGATTCAAGATGGCCACATGAAAAGGATACTGTGAAACAGAAAGGAGGATCAATGGAATCGCATAGAAGACCCAGAAATAAACCCACACACCTATGAATACTCAATATTTGACAAAGAAGCCAAATCCATTCAATGGAAAAAAGACAGCATCTTCAACAAATGGTGCTGGACCAACTGGATGTCTACATGCAGAAAAATGAAAATAGATCCATATTTATCACCCTGCACAAAACTAAAGTCCAAGTGGATCAAAGACCTCAACATAAAACCAGATACTCTAAATCAGTTGGAAAAAAAAGTGGGAAACAGCCTAGAACTCATTGGCACAGGAGACAACTTCCTGAACAGAACACCAACAGCACAGGCTCTAAGAGCAACAATCAATAAATGGGACCTCATGAAACTGAAAAGCTTCTGTAAAGCAAAGGACACTGTCATCAAAACAAATAGACAGCCTACAGATTGGGAAAGAATCTTCACCAACCCTTTATCTGACAGAGGGCTAATATCCAGTATATATAAAGAACTAAAGAAGCAGAAAAGCAACAAACCAAGTAATCCAATTAAAAAATGGGGAACAGAGCTAAACAGAGAATTCTCGAAAGAGGAACATCGAATGGCAGAGAAACACTTAAAGAAATGCTCAACCTCATTAGCCATTAGGGAAATGCAAATCAAAACGACCCTGAGATTTCACCTTACACCCATCAGAATGGCCAAGATGAAAAACTCAAGTGATAGCACATGCTGGAGAGGTTGTGGAGAAAAGGGAACCCTCCTCCATTGCTGGTGGGAATGTAAACTGGTTCAACCACTTTGGAAGTCAATCTGGCGCTTTCTCAGACAACTAGGAGTAGTGCTACCTCAAGACCCAGCTATACCACTCCTAGGTATATACCCAAAATTTGCTCAAGTACACAACAAGGACATTTGTTCAACCATGTTCATAGCAGCTTTATTTGTAATAGCCAGAACTTGGAAACAACCCAGATGTCCATCAACGGAGGAATGGATACAGAAATTGTGGTATTTTTACACAATGGAATACTACTCAGCAATCAAAAAGGAGGAAATCATGAAATTTGCAGGCAAGTGGTGGGATCTAGAAAAGATCATTCTGAGTGAAGTATCCCAGAAGGAGAAAGACAAACTTGGTATATACTCGCTTATATAGACCTACAAGATATGATAAACATAATGAAATCTACACACCTAAAGAAGATAATCAAGAAAGTGGACACAGGCAAAGGTGATTAATCCTCATTTAGAAAGACAAATGGGATGTGCATTGAACTTATGACAGGAGTCTACCACAAAAGGCATCTGAAAGACTCTACCTAGCAGTGTTTCAAAGCAGACACTAAGACTCATAACCAAACCCTCAGCAGAGTGCAGGGAATCATATGAAAGAAGGGAAGTTAGTATGATATGGAAAGGATAGGAGCTCTACAAGGACCAAACATATCTGGGCACAGGGTCTTTTCTTAGACTGACACTCAACCAAGGACCATCTATGGATATAACCTAGAACTTCTGCTCGGATGTGGCCCGTGGTAGCTCAGTAACCAAATAGTTTTCCAAAGTAAGGGGAACACGGACTATTTCTAACAGGATCTCAAGGGCAAGCTGTTTGACCCCCCCCCCCCTCCCAGGGAGGAGCAGTCTGTTAGGCCACAGAGGAGGACTTTACAGCCAGCCCTGAAGATACCTGATAAAACAGGGTCAGATGAAAGGGGAGGAGGTCCTCCCCTATCAGTGGACTTGGAAAGGGGCAGGGAGGAGACCAGGGAGGGAGTGTGGGGTTGGGGAGGGAATGAGGGAGCGGGATACAGCTGGGACACAGAGTTAACAAAATGTAACTAAAAAGAAAAAAATAATAAAAAAATAAAAAAGAAAAAAAAAAAAGAAAAGAAAAGGATACTGTGCCTGAGGAGCAGGACAGCAGTGACTGCACGCTTACCAACAAACTGAACTCTGGGCCCCCAAAAACCAGCAATTGTGTTTCCCAGGTAAGTTGAAACCCCACGGTGTAGGAAGTAATCGGGTCCATTCTCAGGTCACCAAGTTAAACACCTGAAAAGTTCCCGGGTCCTGGCAGGGGCTCAGTCACCAGCCCAGAGCCACATGCCTATGTGTTCTGATCACCATCCCAGACCGAACTGTGAGGCCCACAACACCAGAGACTGAGATTTCCAGTTGAGAGAAAACCCCAATTTGAAGGAAGCAATAGGGACCGACCTCAGGTCACCGAGACGATCACGGGAAAAGGTCCCAGTGTCCAGTGGGTGCTCAGCCACCAGCCCAGAGACCTACCTCCGTGCCCAACTCACCTTCCCAGACAGAACTGTGGGCGGCACGGCAGCAAAGTCTGCGTGTCTCTGTCAGGAGGAAACCCCACAGTGAGGCAAACACATGTCCAACCTCAGTGCACTCAGCTGAACACCTCCCTCCAAACGTTTTCGGAAAAAAAGTTCTCAGGTTCCTACAGGTGCTCAGTTGCCAGCATGGAGCTACTCAGCTGTGCCTGCATGCTCTACTCGCCATTTTAGACTGAATTGTGGACCCCAAACACCATAGACTGGGTCTCCCTATTGGGAGGAAACCCCATGGTGGGAGGAAACATCTGATCCGACCTCAGGACACTCAGCACAAGAAAAGTTTCTGGGCTGCTGCAAACTCCAGGCTCTAACCTCCGGCTGCATGCATGAGTGATGTGCACCCCTCCCACTGATTACCACTTGCGTACTGGGGCACAGAGCTCCATCCTCAGACCTAGAAATGCCTGGGATCCACAGGATCAGCCCCACACACTGCACCAAGGTGCAACCTGTCACCCTAGCTAAACTGACCAACTTGCGGGGCTCTCTGGTTCTCTGCTTCTCCCAGCAAACACAGCAGCCTACTAAATTCAGAGCAAGAAACCCAGCAGCAGGGTAGCTGTCTCCAGGACTTCTCCTGGTCAGAGGAGAGCCCCATTGACTATCAATGACCACAGTTACCACACAGGTCCATACGCCTGAGGTGACCTGTAGCAATTCCTGAGAAACACCACCATTCAGATAATCATAACCAAAAATCTGAGGAGACCGCCTTCAGGAACAACCATCTTCCTGCCAGAAAGTAACAGCCAACACCTGAGACAGCTAGATGGAGAGAGGCCAGCATAAAAGCACAACCAACAAAAGCCAAAGCAACATGGCATCTCCAGAATCCAGTTATACAGGGACAAACACCCCTGGTCATAAGTGAAATTCAAGAATATGACCTTACATCTGTACTTTTGAAGAGGTTAATGAGGAAACAAATAAAATGCATAAAGAATTATAAGAAGATAAAGTCAAACAGATTATGGTCATGTGTAAAGAAACAGAAGAAGAAAAAGTCAAACAGATTATTGCCAACGCTAAAGAAATGGAGGAAGATAAAATAAAACAGTATGGCCATCTGTAAGAAATACAGGAAGATGCAGCCAAACAGTTTGTGGCCTTCAGAGAGGAAATAATTATGTTACTGAAAGAAATAAAAGAAACAGGGGAATATTCAAACACACAGGTAAAGGAATTGAAGAAAAATGCACTCAA